CCTCAGCCCGAGGAAGGCTCCGCAGGTGGGCCCTGCCTCCTTCTGGCTGCGTGGTCACAGCTGACTTGGCTTCTTGAAGCCTCAGTTTCCTTCTCTGTAAAGTGGGACCGCTAATCGGACCCACTGCCGAGGATTGCGACAGGCCTTGATGACGTGCCACGTGCAGAGCTGTGGGCACTGCCCGGCCGAGCGTGGACCGGCTCTATGCTGCTGCCGCTGCTGCTGCCGCCGCCCGACCCTCCGTGGCTCCTGCTGCTGCCAGGCGGCCGCAGTCCCGCACAGCAGGGAGCTGACACGCACGGTCGATGGCCACGTGGGATGAGCTGTGACTGTGGGTGTGGGGACGGTGTGCAGATGGGCCCTCGTGGGGTGCCGCCAGCAGGAGCCCGGGGTGGGGAATTGGTCTCAGCTGCACATAAGTGCAGGTGACACAGGCGCCCCCTGCTGGTGGCTCAGCAGGGGTGGCAGGGGGCAGGGAAGCTGCAGTGGGAGGTGGAGCTGAGCCTTCGGGAGCTGGACTTGGGGCAAGGAGGGTGGGACCACTTCGTCAACGCCCATCCCCCGCCGTTCAGTCTCCCTGCCCTCGGTGCCCAGTCCCCTCCCCCTTTCTAACGTTGTTAGCACGTGTGCTCGCTCTCCTCCCCCACCGCTGCGGCCCCAGTCTCCCCAGCCACTGTCTGTCACACCTGCCCTCCGGGAGCCTCACCCTCCCGCGGCCCGCCGGTCCCCGAGCACAGCGCCCTCGCGATGAAGGCCCGGCCCCGGAGGCCGCTCGCTGTCCGACCCACCTCCAGCTGAGTCTCCCCTCGTTCCTCGGCCTCCTGTGTTCCGTGTTCCACCCCGGTGGGCGCCTCCGTGCGCCTGGGCCTCCACGCTGTTGCATCGTCATCCGGCAGCACTGCTCCCTCCGCCTGGAATCTCCCCTCGCCTCCCCGTTCCCGTGGCCAGCTTCCCGCTTGTCCCTGGAAACTCGGCTTGGCTGTGGCCTTCAGTATGGCTCCCCCCTCCCCCCTCCCCCCCCCCGCAGCCAGGCTGCCCCCGAAGGGAGAGGACAACATCGTGGTCCTGCTCCCGGGCACACGCGTGCTGAGCATCTGTCTCCAGTATCTTGATGCCCGAGGGGGTGCCTGCATTTAGAGGAAGTTAGGGACGCAGATGGCTGCAGCCCTAGTTAAAATGGGGGCATTTTGTGACTGAATCGAGTGATGATAGGCTGGAAGAAAGCGAACTTCCAATTCCCGCACCCTCTGCCACTGGGCCGTCTCACGACAGGATGGTGTTTGGAAAAGCCAGGGGGAAGCTTTTTGGTTACAAAACTGGTAAAGCAGAAATAGCTAACCATGTGTGTCCTGACTTTAACATACGATCAACTTGTCATATATTGATAATTAGTTTTCTTGCATTTTAAAAGCTTGTCGTCATTGTACGTCCGTGTAAGAAGCACTTAGAACAGAACACACTCTGCCAAAGAAGACAGATGGCGAGTGGGAGCAGGAGGAGATGGGCAGTGTCACTGGACATTAAGAAAGTACAAATGCAGTTACAACGAACTGTTGCTACATACTAAACAGAATGACTAAACATTCTTTTTAAAGTTCTCTTCTGCCCTGACTGGTGTTTGGCTCAGTGGACTGAGCGTGGGCCTGCAAACCAAAAGGTCACCAGTTCAATGCCCAGTCCGGGCACATCCCGGGGTTGTGGGCCAGGTCCCCAGTAGGGGGCGCACGAGAGGCAACCACGCATTGATGTTTCCCTCTCTCCCTCCCTTCACCTCTCTCTGAAAATAGATACATAAATAAAATCTTTTAAAAATGTGTTACTTAAAAAAAATTTTTGACCTGACAGCACCAAGTGCTCGTGAGAAGGCAGAGCAGCTGGAACTCCCGTACACTGCTGACGGGAGTGCGAGCGGGACAGCTGCCCGGAACCTGAATGACCGTAGTAACCAACACTGCCCCAATACATTCAGTTAAGAAAATAGAAAAAAATGCCTTAGCCACACTGGATAACAGGTCATTTCTTGCAAAGTTAGATGCGCCCTTCCTGTAGCAACCCCACTCCTGGGTGTTTACCCAAGAGAAGTGGAGGCGCACGCCCACGCGGAGCCCTGCAGGCGGGCGCCCTAGCTTCTGCGTCTGTCATGGCCCCCACGCCCCTCAGCAGGAGGAGGGAGACGCCCAGGGTGGGCTTGCCTGCGGTGGAATTCTCCCTCACGGCGGAAAGGGAGGAGCCACTGGCACCGGCGGGGCATGGGTCGGTCTCGGAAGAGTTACGGTGAGAGACAGAGCCAGTCGGCAAAGGCCGGGCTACGTCCGTGAGGCCCCATCTGTCCCAGCCCTCTCGGGGAAGGGGCAGACGCCAGGGCAGTGGCTGCCAGGGACTGCGTGGGGCGATGGCAGTGCCCCGAGCCTTGCTGTGGCCGGGTTGTGCACGGCACACGTTGGTCTGAGCTCACCCGCGCGTGGCTGCCAGGGGCGCCTGTCGGCGTGTGTGGGCTGGTCTCGGTTTAGAGAAACGCTGCCAGCCGCCCTGCTCTGAGGGGGGCCACCAGCACCCCGCTGGGGGGCCAGCCGCCGGCCACAGGGCTCTGTCACCAGGCGGTTTATGGAGACGGAAACAGTGACGCCTGGGTGTTCGTGGGGCTGGAGTGCTGCTCTGTCACGAGACCCCCCGGGCCCCCGCGCCGAGCAAGGCCAGCGGGCGGACGTCGCTGGAGCACCTGGCGTCTCCAGCACACCCTCCGCCCTCTGGCCCCAGCAATGGCCACGGCGCCAGCTCTTAAACATAAAACATGTGCTTCTAGCAGCATCTTTCTGGTGTTCCTTGCTGCTGGTCAGATTTCAAGAGTAATTATTTAAACACAGGGTGGGGCAAAAAGATGTTTACAGTTCTTCCTGCGGAAAATAATAGCACTTATTACTGGTTAGTGAGTAGCAACACGAGGATAAATGGTGCTGTGTGTGCTCACAGCTGCAAACCGACTTTTGCCCCTGCGCGTGCTGACTGACGGCTACACCAGCATGGGCCTGGTGGGGGAGCACCCTTTGCTCTTCCGTGGGCCTTCTCACCAGGGTTTTGAAGTCACGGAGGCGAGCAGGTTTCCAGAGAGGCAGCCCGTTCCGACGGCGGTGACCAGTTTGAACGCCGTCGGTAGCAGGGGCTGACAACCAGCTGTGCCCAGTGGCTGCGGGGCGCCGTCGGGGCGCACAGAACCCTGTGACCTGGGCCCTCCTTGCCACCTGCTCAGTGATGCCGACTGGTGTTTTGCGGGTTTTTTCTTCACTCTGCTGTAAATTTCGAAATGACGGCAAGGCCCCATTTTAAATGGGAAGTGAGCCTGTGATGTCACTTCCGGCCGGTAGTGAACCGCTTGCTCTCGCCTTCCTTCCGAGCACGAGGCTGCCGGAGGAGAGAGGGGGAGCCCAGGCCCAGCCCCCGGGTGTCGGGGGGCCGCCGGCCCACTTCCTGGCTGAGGACGCGCGGCCAGGCCCGCTGCCCATCAGGGTGGGCCTCCGGAGAGGGCCGCCAGGGCTACCGACTGCCGGGGCTCCTCGCCGTCCCCCACCTCGCCCGTCTCCACGCAGGGCCCTGCGTCCTGGGCCTTGGCAGGCCCTTCCCACCACTGCCCAGACCCTCCTCCTCGCCTGGTCCTCTGGGCTCGGGGTGGGGGGAGCTCTGGTGGCCCTGCACGGCAGAGCAGGCCAGGCTCTGGGTGTGGGGCGTCCGGGTTCACTGCCAGCAGGGAGGAGGCACGGGCGTGGTCAGCCAGGCCAGGAGCCTTTCAGAGAGAGCGAGACTGACCGAAAGGGGACTGGGATTTGCGAGGGCAGGGGGAGGAGTGTTGGGAACACGGCACAGCACGTTTCCGTCTCATGCCCTCGGGGAGCCGGGGAGCCGCGTGGTTGCTGTCAGGTCAGCGGCTCTGAGAATGAGACGTTGGACACCCGGTTATCGCTCCAGATGAGCCTCTGGCATTTCCTTAATCGTCCTTTTATCGTTTACAGTTCAGACGAGGGGCTGGTTTCTCCTTGCACATGTGAGGCAGAGTCGTCGAAACTCGTCTTCGTCCTTGTCGATGCAGGGGAGGGCCTGCGGCCGCGGGGTCTGGGCAAACCGGGGGGCGTCTCTGAGCCGCGGTGCCCTCGTCTCAGGGCGGTGGCAGCATGCAGAGGGCAGAGTGCCCGGTGTGGCGCCCGGCGCGCAGTAGGTGCACAGTGGGCGGAAACAGTGTTGGTCGCTGTGATCGGGAGGCGCACCCGGGAACCTCTTCACACCCACGATGACCGGAGGCCCTTAGCCAGGAGTCTGTAGTGTCAGGTCACGCTTGTATGAGTTCCTGCGACGTTGTTACTATTTTACGTCTCTCTGGTGGGACCTCCCTAGGAAGCCGTCCCTGGCCCCTCAGTCTGCGGGAGAGGCCCCGCAGGGTGCCCTTGGTCCCTCGCTTCCCTGAGCCACCACCCTTCCCGAGTGGGTCCGTCTCCCTCTCCGACCCACAGGTCAGGGCAGGGACTCTGGCTGCACGGACACTGAGGAGCTTCGAATTGCTGGATTTTTTAAAGATTTTATTTATTTATCTTTAGAGAGAGAGCGGAAGGGAGGGAGAAAGAGAAGGGGAGAAGTATCAGTGTGTGGTTGCCTCTAGCACACCCCCCACCTGGGGACCTGGCTGGCAACCCAGGCCTGCGCCCTGGCGGGAATCGAACCGGCGACCCTTTGCTCTGCAGGCCGGTACTGAGTCCACTGAGCCACACCAGCCGAGCTCACATTGCAGTTTTGTGTGTCCCTGCTGGTGAAGCGAGACAGGAGCTTGTCACCTGCTGGTGCAGGTGGCCTCTCGAAGGGCAGGGGGGCGAGCCCCCGGGAGCCTGCTGGGCACGGAGGCTGTTTGTACAGCAGGGGGGTCGGGCCATCACCGCGCCCCCCCCCCGCCCCCGGGGAGAGCCGGCAGGTGGGCCGCCGCCCCCGCCCCGAGCCTCCCGCCGGCTTCTGTCCCCCAGGTCGGGAACTACAAGCGGACTGTGAAGCGCATCGAGGACGGCCACCGCCTGTGCAGCGACCTCATGAACTGCCTGCACGAGCGGGCGCGCATCGAGAAGGCCTACGCGCAGCAGCTCACCGAGTGGGCCCGGCGCTGGCGGCAGCTCGTGGAGAAGGGTAGGGGCCCTGCCCGCGGCGGCCTCCCTGGGCCAGCTTCCTGTCTCCTGAGGGAGGGGGCAGGGGCACTCCCGCGGTGCCGGCCGTGATTCCTCCAGGGGAGCGGCGGGCACTGTCGTCACCCAGCAGCGTGGGCCGCGTGAGACTCCCTCTCCTCTCCTTACGACGGGACCTGTCTGGGGTTGGCACCCGAGTCTCCTGGGGCGGCCCCCGCCATCCACGGGGTGGGCCACGCCTGCTCGCTGAACTCACCCAGCTCCCCGAGGGCTCACACCTGTGTGCACCCCCATTGGCGCGGAGGCCTGGCTGCCCGGCCCCCCAGCTCTGACCCTAGAAGACCCTGCTGACCTGCGGGTCTGGTCCTGGAGCAATCCGATGGGGCGGGGTGGTGACACCTGGCAGGGCTTCCGATGCGGAAGTTCAGTGCAAAACGAGGTTCTGCCCATCTCGTCTCTCCCTAGCCGAACAGGAGACTCGGAGCTTAGTGACAGGCGCTGCTGTGGCCCTGGACTGCGCTCAGGACGCACTCCCAGCAGTCGAGGGGGAGCTTGACGGATTAGGGGGTTGGTTGCCTGGGACAGGGCGGATTAGAAGGAGTTCCTCGGGCTCTTCTCGTGACTGCTGTCCTTGGGGGCACCGACCAGGAGAGGCCAGGCCACGGGGCGAGAGGGCCTGGAGGGCAGGCCCGCAGGCTGCTTCCGGTGGGCTAGACCAGCTTCCTGTCTCCCCGATGCTGGAGTGGGCCGGCTGTGGGGCTTCGCACGGGGACTGGTGCAGAGGAGGTGCCGGCAGTGGGGCGGCTGTGCGTGGGGTGGGCCCGATGCCACAGGTTTCTGCCTCTCGGGACCCAGCTGTGAGCACCGCCCCTCCGTCCGGTCCGAGCTTGAGGTCCACACAGCGCTTGCCCCCCCTTGTGGGCCCTGCCCCGGCGCTGCAGGGTTAGGGGTCCCGAGGGGCCCACCCTCCCCGCCAGGGCCTGTCCGTGTCGTTGCCCGGCTCAGACAGTCGCTGTCCCCTGTGAGCACCTGGAAGACAGGACTGGGGGCGTCCCCCGTCGTCCCCACCTCCTGCCTCTCCCTCCCTCCCTCCCTCCCTCCCTCCCCTCGTGCCACCCGCACCCTCCGAATGAGGCTGGAGCGCGAGTTTCCCTCCTGAGAACAGTGAGCGAGGTGAGGCAGGTGCCCCATCCCGCAGTCCAGAGAGTCCCACCGGGCTAGAGCCGCTTCCTGCCTCCACCTCTCGCTCCTGCCCCAGGACAGGCCTTGTCCTCTGCTGAGGGGACAGCCCTCCACGCCACAGGCGGCTCTCGGGTCCCCGCTCCCGGCTGGGCTCTTCCGGGTGCATAGCAGAGCCCCTGCGCTGGTCCACCAGCGGAGCCCGTGGTCCAGGGAAGGGGGCCGGGGTGCTACGGGGCCCCGGGGGCCGCGGCCCGGGAGAGAGGTCGGCTCACTTCAGAAGGCCCCTCCTTGTACAGCCAGCCTTACTCAGATGGAAACTTCAGAAATCTGAGTTTTGTAAGACCCTGGTGACTTCTCAGAAAGGGGGATTTGGGTAACTCCCCAATTCCCTTGTAAAAGAATGGCCAGGCTGGTTCAGCTTCAGTTCCTCCTTGCTTGCATCATCCTCGGAACTGAAACGGGAACAGTCCTTAGACAAGGTGTCGGGAACAGCCAGAAGGAAACCTTCCGGCCAGACGGCCCCACGCCCCCGGCAGCGGGAGAGGCGGGCAGGCGCCGAGGGCCCGCCCGCCCCCGCGAGCCCAGTGACCCCGGGCTGTGTCCGCGCAGGGCCCCAGTACGGGACGCTGGAGAAGGCCTGGGTGGCCGTCACGTCGGAGGCGGAGGGGGTGAGCGAGCTGCACCTGCAGGTGAAGGCCGCGCTGATGAGCGAGGACTTCGAGAAGATCAAGAACTGGCAGAAGGAGGCCTTCCACAAGCAGATGATGGGGGGCTTCAAGGAGACTAAGGAGGCCGAGGACGGCTTTCGGAAGGCGCAGAAGCCCTGGGCCAAGAAGCTGAAAGAGGTGCGCCCTCCTGCCGGCCTGTGGGCCCGTGGCCCCGGCTGGTGACCGCGTGGCCCTAGTTCCCCCCCCCCCCACGAAGCACTGCTCCCCCCACACCCCCAGGAGTTCCTGCCGTTTACAGCTTCAGAAACAGAGGGAGGGCCGCCCCTCGGGCCAGAGGACCTTAGAGGCCAACGTTTACCCAAGGTCCAGACGTGAAGTTTACCCTCATGACCCCACTTTACAGTCGGGAGGCGGAGCATCAGGACCCATGCTGGCCGTAGAGCCCCAACCCAGCTCGGTCCGCTGACAGGACTTCCCCAGCCCCCCGGGAGTCGCCCGCTGGAGACTCCTGAAGCCCCTTCGGGCTGGCAGAGAGCGTTCACTTAACCTTGTTCTCTCTCGTGTGCGTTTTTTCCTCTCGAATTTGCAAATGACACTGAGGTTCGTTTTCCCGAAACAAGCAGCCGAAGCGGCCGTGTCTCACCCAGCCTTGGCAAGCGGGGGCGGGGGGAGGGGGCTTCTGGCCCACATCCCTCTGGAGCTGCGCCCCCTGCCTCCCCTCCCCCTCCTCCGGCCCCTCCCCCGCACCTGCATCTTCTGGTCAGAACAGCGGCCTTCCCTCCGCTCCTCTGTCTTGGCCTTGTCCGCATCTCCTTTCCCTTCCTTCTCGTCCCTGGCTCCTTTGTAACGACCTTGCCCCCTCAGGAGGCCACGGTGACAAGCTCATCTCCTCTCCGAAGTGAAATCTGTGGCTGGCTCAAGTAAGGAAGCTTCTGGTAGAGAAGCTACGCACACGTCAGCATCCGTGTGCGTGTGCACGGGTGTGAATAACAGCCACCAGAAACCATGGAAACCGAGGCCTGTGGCCCCACCTCCCAACATCGCCCCCTCTCTCGTGTTAGGTTTTTCCTCTGACGCTCTCTTTGCATCTGCTATTCCCGCTGCCCGGCGTGCCCTTCCCTCAGAGGGCCACCCCCTCTTTGCCTGCTCGCTCCACGTCACCTGGGCAGCTGTCTCCGCACAGCCCCGCTGGCCCGGCCCCCCACAGGGTGCCCGTTTCTCCCTTGCTTTATTCTCCTCCTTGGCACCTGTCGCCTTCTGATACACCCTCAGCGTCGATCATTCCTTGCCGTTGCCTCCACAGCTGTGCTGGGCGCCGTGCACGCCCAGGCCCTTCATCTGGTGCTGCGCCCCTCCCTGGCGCCCAGGACAGCGCCGGCACAGAGCAGGCGCCGGTCAGTGTCTGTCGAACAAAGCCCTCTGTTACGGCCGCTGTGATCCTGCCACGCACAGCTGCGCACCAGCGCTCTCCCCGCCCCTGGGCCCCCAGGCGAGGGCTTGGACCTCTCCGCGTCACGGTGCTCAGGAGCCCCTCTCGCCTGTAGGTGGAGGCGGCGAAGAAAGCCTACCACACAGCGTGCAAAGAGGAGAAGTTGGCGATATCGAGAGAAAACAATAGCAAAGCGGACCCATCCCTCAACCCTGAACAGCTGAAGAAATTGCAAGACAAAGTAGAAAAATGCAAGCAAGACGTCCTGAAGGTAAGTCGTGTGTGTCTCTGTACGTGAGAAGCGTGAGAAGCGCGCCTGCCTCTCCTGCTCTCGGGTCTGGCCCACGGGGAGCTTCTGCCGCCGCTTGGCGGCACGGGCGGGCGGAGGGGCGTGGCACTGAAACACACCCCTGCCCTCAGGAAGGTCTCACCCGAGGATGGGGTGGAACCCTGGGCGAGCAGGGGAGTGACGGCCCCTGTGCCTGGGGACAGGGTGCCGGTGTGGCGGGGGTTGCTGCGGGCACGCGGCGGAAGGGAGCCCCGGTGTAGGGCGTCGAGCCGTGGGTGATCCCCGGGGCGGAGGAGGGGTAGCTGACGGATGAGCCCGCACAGACGGTTTTGAGAACCAGAGTGCCGACGGCCCTGCACGTCAGGCAAAGCAAAGAGCTCGAGGTGCTGTGGACAGGGGGTCCCTGGAGAAGGGAGGGCAGAGGAGTGGAGGCCCAGCCGGCGAGAGGGACCGCTCTGGGGTGGCAGCAGGTCCCCGTGGACAGGTGACGGCTGGTGCACTGGAGCCGCAGGGACCACAGGGGGTGGGAGCGGAGAGAATTTTCCTGCAGCTGCAGAAAGCCCCAAAGAGGTGTGGGCAGAGGCCGCAGGAGCGCAGGGGTGGCGGGACGGGGGCTCTCAGTGGAAAAGAGACAGTGAACAGGTGGCGTGGTGTGGCATCCAGGGTGCCCCCCCCCCCCCCGCAGTGGATCGGTGAGAAGGTCAAACGGGATGGTCGTGGAGGGCTGCTCGGGTGCGGGCCGGGCTCTGCCCGGAGGGCCTGTGTCGTCACAGGGCCTGAGCGTAGGGCCCCGTCCTGTACCCGGACGGTTCCCAGGAAGGGGCAGGGCTGGCCTGTGCTCCGGCCCCCAGCCCCACCACCAGCTTGGCCCTGAAGACAGCGGCGGGGGGTGTGTGTCAAGGGACTCGAGGGAGGGTGCAGAGGAAGTAGACTGGGGTGCCCCTAGATGCTGGCACAGCCCCTCGCCGCGCTTACTCCGTACGAAGGTCGCCCATGGGGGCGCCGAGCCTGGCCCGCTGACCCCGCGGCGGCCCTCCCCGGCGCTGTCTCCCCCCCGCAGACCAGAGAGAAGTACGAGAAGGCGCTGAAGGAGCTGGACCAGGGCACGCCGCAGTACATGGAGAACATGGAGCAGGTGTTCGAGCAGTGCCAGCAGTTCGAGGAGAAGCGCCTGCGCTTCTTCCGGGAGGTCCTGCTGGAGGTCCAGAAGCACCTCGACCTGTCCACCGTGGCCAGGTGGGCGTCCTCTCCGCCGCCGGGCGCGTCCCCGTGGAGTCGGGGCCCCGTGGCTCCCCAGACCCAGCACAGCCGTGCCCTCTGGCCTTCTCGCGGCCGCTGCGCTCCGCCGCCTGGGCCCGGCCCCTCCGCTGGGCCTGGCTGAAGCCACGTGGGGCCGCCGATTGCGGGCCTGAGCCGGGCGGCCTGTGGCCACGGGATGAGGGGCCATGCTCTGCCGGCCCTGCGCCCAGTTCCCCGGGCCTGGGCGTTGGGGGAGGCCGCAGCTCGACCAGCCGGTTGGTGGATTTGAAGTCAGCCCCTCGGGGCTGGCGTGCCCTGCCCCCGGTGGTCTGACTCTGAGGCCCCTCGTGTGTCCCTCCCCTCCGACGAGAGGGCTGAGGCTGGGCCGGGTTAAGTGACTTGCCCGAGGCCACGCGGCTGGCTGGGGTGGGGCTGGGCCGTGTCCGCTCTTCCGTGAGCAGAGTAACTCCCACGCGGGAGCGCTTGTCCGCGGCCAGTGCACCTGGCCGTGCTCCGTTCTCCCAGCCACTGGCTGGGAGGCAGTGCAGACGTGTCCCGGCACACCGCAGACTGGGCGGCTCCTGTCAGCGGAAATGCACCCCCATTCCGGAGGCCGGGGACCAGACCGCTCTGGGGTGGGGGTTCGCGCCGGTCCGTCCCGGGCTGTCCCAGCCGACGACGCACCACTGCAGCCACAGGCCGTCTTCTCTCTGCGGGCTCACGTCGTCCTGCCGCTCGGTGTCCGCGTCCAAGTTCCCCCTTTTATAGAAAGACGCCGTGGGTGCGGGATGCTCTGCGGACCGTTTGACCCGATACCTCTGGGAGGAGCCCGTGGGGGACATTGGGAGCTGCTGGGGGTTGTGTTTTGGAGAACGCAAGTCAGCCTGTCGCAAATGGCATCGGGCCCACTTACAGGAGGTGCACAGTGAGGCCCAGAGAGGGCGGTGACTTGCCAGCCACGCCGGTTGGCAGTGACAGTGCCAGGGCCCTCGGCGACACTCCTGCCCGGCCCGGCCGGCTTCCTGGGACGGCCGGCTGCTGTGCGCCGTGGGGCAGAAGGCGTCCCCGCCGCCAGGTGGCGTCTTTGTGTGAAGGGATGGGGAGAAACTTGTCCTGACACTGGGTCCTGGACCTGAGGAAACGGGGCCACCCAGACTGGCAGCCCGTGCGGCCCTGATGCCGGTGCTGTTTGACTCTGATGCAGAGCAAAGCCGCGCTATTGCCGGTGATTGTCAGAGGCCTGCGCAGCGGGCTCCGCGCCCTGGTGGTTGCTGGCACCCGTGCACGCTGAGGCCGGACGATGGCCCGGCCGAGCCAGGGCGGCGTGTCCTGGTCTGCATTGTGACGTCGGCTGTCGAGGGGCCAGGCACGGTGCTAGGACGGACGGCGGCACCCCTGCCTCCCCAAAGCAGCATGCTTCTCTCTCTGGCTCAGCTACCGAAACATCTACTGCGACCTGGAGCAGAGCATCAAAGCGGCCGACGCGATGGAGGACCTGAGGTGGTTCCGAGCCAACCACGGGCCGGGCATGTCCATGAACTGGCCGCAGTTCGAGGTAAGAGGAGGCTGCACGCACCGCCCCTCAGCCCGGCCGAGGCCTGGCCCACGGGGCCGAACCGCACACTGTCCTTCTCGTTCCAATTCTGCGTCGGCCCGCAGAGAGCTGATGCTCTGTCTTCTGCACGCTGGACACTGCTGCAGGGCTCTCTGAGCCTGTAGGGGAGGACAGTGGGGGTCTTCCTCACTCAGAACGGGGGTGGTCCCTGGTTGACTGTTGGCACTCCTTCAGGGTGAGTCCCAGGAGCTGCGGGGCATGCAGGACACCCTCCACCACTGGTTCCCTACCCGGCCCTGGGGCCGGGCCAGGACGGGGGCGGCCACAGCACACCAGGCCTGGCAGGCCGCAGGCCCCTGCCCCGCGGCCGCCGGCCCGAGTCAGGAGGGGCTCGTAGTCTTGCTGTGCGGCTCTTCTCCCCTTCACACTTTTCCTTATTTCAGACAGAGCTCAGCCAGTTTGGGCTCGGGGTTAACTTTTCTCCTTTCCCCTTCCCGTGGGCCCGAGCCTTCCAGTGTCTGTCCATGTGGAGTCCCTGGGGACCTCGGGCTCTTCCAGCTGCCCTGCTGGGCCACCAGGCGCCGCCCCCGCCCTGAGGGAGCAGACGGGGCGATGGCCCCGGTCCTGGCTCTATTTCGCTGAGGGCAGGTTCTCCCTGCCTCGTGCTGAAGCAAGGTCTCTCCCAGGAGGGTGCTCGGGGGGTGGGGGCGGGGGCAACTCCCTGCCTTGCCCTCCAGCCAACTGGCTTCCCCCGACGCAGTGCGGCCCGAGCCCTGGCTGCCGGCAGGGCCCGCCTCGCCACCTGCCGGCTGTGGGACTCTGAGCACGTCGTTGCCCTCTTTGTGACTCAGTTTCCCCCATGTCAAACGCCATGACAGCAGCAGCAGCTCTCTTGCGGGTGGCTGGAGGGTCCGTGACCTGGGCCACTCGGGGTTTCGGCCGCAGGCCAGCCCCCCAGAAGCCCGCCCGGCCCCGTCTCGGCCGGCAGTGGGGTCAGCCCTGGCGTGCGGGCCTGTTCTCCGGAGCTTCTCGGGAGCTTCCGCGGGTGACAGGCAGTGTGGGTCCCTGCGGCCGAGCGCCCCCAGCCCCAGCCCCAACCCCAGCCCCTTAGGGTGCCTGTCTGACACCCGGGCAGCAGAGCGTCTGAGGAGGAGGATTTGACAGGCTGTCTCTCGGGGTGCGGTCCGGGTGGGGGGAGAGCCCTGGGGGCCCCTCTCCGCGGACCCCGTGGTGCTCACCTTCCTCTAACGGAATCGTCTGTTTCTTTTTCCCATGCCACGAGGATGAAGTAAGTTACTGTTTCATAGCTGACTCACTGAATTCCAGCCCCTGCCGGGCGGGTCCAGCCCGGGCGGGTCTGTGCGCGGGTCCGAGGCGGGGTTCCGGGCGCGCGTGCTGGGGAGAGCTGTGGCGGCGGCGAGCCTGCTGGCCGTGTTCGTCCAGATTTGCAGACGGACCGGCCCTTCCTCGGGAAGTCGGTCTGGGGCTGATCCCGCCGGCCCTTGCCAGCAAGCCCCCGGTCAGGACAGGGTCATGTTCGGAAGGTCATGGGGGCCCAAGTTCCAGTGCGTCCTCAGTCCTCTGACTGCAGTGGAGCCGTGACGGGCTGGTGGGCGACCTGGCCTGGCGCCCCCCGCTGTGCGGACGAGGAACTTTCTCTGGTCTGAGTTTGCTCCTCTGAGACGCGTCTGGCCGTGAGAGCCTGAGTCTGTCACTGCGCGGGGCGCAGAGCCTCGGACTCAGTCCCCCTCCCCCCCCCCCAGCGCTCTTTCGGTTTGAGTTGTGTGATGCTGGGTGCCCCCGGGGGGATCTCATTCGCCGGGTGTACACGTGCCTTTCCGGAAAGTTGTGTGGTGGCTCCTTCCTCCCCCCCACTCTTCTGGTGTTTTCCAGAGCGGCTGATAAAAGCCCGCTCACATGCTGGGAGATAGTGACCCTCTGGGGAGATGAACACTCAGCTTTGTTAGCGCCCCCCCCCCGCCCGTGCTGCTTCCGGCGGAAATAGCATAGAGTGCCGGGGAGGGCGCCCCTCTGTGGGGACTTGAGTGGTGGGCTAGCTTATCGCCCCCGGGGTGATGCAGTGACGCCGGGGGTTCGCTCCCCCTTTGCAGGCCTGCTCAGGTCCCCACTGCCAGCGCCCTGGCACCCTGGGGACCAGAGACAGCTTAGAGCCTAGACAGGAAGGGTCCTCAGCCCTGAAGGCCGAGCCCCCGCCCCGTGTTGCAGACTGATGTGGCCTCAAACCAATGAGCTCCCCGGTCTCTCCCCCTCGGTGCCGGCTGCCAGGAGTGGTCTGCGGACATGAACCGGACGCTCAGCCGCAGAGAGAAGAAGAAGACCACCGACGGCGTCACCCTGACGGGCATCAACCAGACCGGCGACCAGGCTCTGCAGAACAAGCCCAGCAGGTGGGTGCGGCAGCCTCCCCCGGGCCCTCTGCACCGGCCGGGACGCCCCCAGCTGGGACCCCGGGGGGAGTCCCCAGGGGGCCTCACAGGAACCCCCACGGGCATCTGCCCAGATGCCCCCTGGGCACCTGAGTCCTCCTGGAGCTGCGGAAAGGGAGCCCTGGGAGCCTGCAGAGAGGGAGCCTTGGCCACACCCTTGCTCTGGGCCCCAGTAAGGGGAGGCGTTGACTGACGCCAGGTGCGGGTCCCGATGAGTCCCCAGCGGCGCACACAGGCAGGAGGTCTCTGTCGACTTCCTTCGGGTGGGTCCGAGCATCCAGACCAGGCTGTGCCCGCCCCCGTGCGGAGGGCAGGTGCCTGGTGGGAAGGCGGCAGGAGGGCCCTGTGAGCGCCCCGGGTGTTTCTCACCTGCTGGCGGAAGCCGAGTCTGGGGAGAAGAGGTGGCACCGGGGTCACCAGAACCTCTGGGGAAGCGTGAGCGAGACAAGGCCCGCCCCACCTCAGACTTCCCGTCACCCATTTCGGGAGCTCGGCCCCGGGGAGCTGTGGTCCCCAGCCCACCGCCCTGGGAGCCTGCCCACCGCACGGCCCGGGGCAGAGCTGCCGTCACACCGAGCAGTGGTGCAGTGCGCGGGGCCGCATCGCACGGCTGTGGCTGCCTGGGGAGGGTCAGCGCCGCGTCCGGGGGCCTTTCTGAAGCCCCCGCCCAGACCGCCTGGGCGGACGTGGCCTGTCCTCGCTCAGCTGCTCCGTCGCCACCTGGGCAGGTGGGCTGGTTAAGTGACAAGGGCAGTAAGCGCCGTCCCAGGGACCAGGCCAGCACCTGTGTGGCTGGGGGGAGGTTGGGGCAGGGGGAGGACAAGATGGCACCCAGGGAAGTCCTGGGGGCGGCCTGGGCTGCACAGGCTGCTGCACAAATCCAGCCCCCCAAAGTGACCCCTCTCAGAACGTCGGCGGGGGAAAGGTGCCAAGGTGAGAGGGGGCCTGGGGGTCTCAGACGTTCGGCCCAGGTGTAGGCAGGGGCAGGCTGAGCCCAGTGCCCTTCACCAGGCCTGGCGTCCGTAAGGTCATTCGGGTCACTCTGCTGCCCTGTGCGGCATCTCTTCCCGCCCGCCCCCTCATCCTTGGCTCTGAGCCGTCGGTCTAGCCCTTGGAGTGCCCGCTCCGTGCGGCCCTGGACTCATGGGCGAGAGGTGGTGCTGGCCCCGGGAGCCCACCCCATGACTCAGAGGTCAGGTCCCGTGACTTGGTCACATGGCCCAACACGTGGCTGCCGGTGCCGGGGTCCGTCTTCCTTCTCCGCCATCTGTGCTGCTGCAGCGCCTGCGGTCCCTGCGCCCGCCGCCCCGGCCGCCAGCCCTCAGGCCGGGCTTTCTCTCTGGTCTTCCCGGGCCGACACAGCAGGCAGTTGTCTGGATGCGCGGATGGGCTCTCTCTGGAGCACAGCGGGGGCTCTTCCTTCCCCGACAGGGCCGGCCTTTCAGGGGGCTCTGGCGCTGCTTCCGGTGCCCCAGGCCCAGAAGGGCCAGGGGGAGGCGCCGGACCCTCCCGTGGTCAGGAGGAGGGGCACGCTGTGCGGTGGGGTCCGCCGAGCTCCGGGAGCCCCCCTCTTCCCGTCACCGGGGCTCCGGGCCCCCACGACGAGCCCCGGGCTCCCGTCCGGGGCGGCCTGGTCCAGGTTTGAGGAGGGAGGATGCAGGCCTGTTCTCCGAGACGCCTGAAGGGCGCCCGTTTAGCAGCCGGAGGACAGCGGAGCTTTCCGCTGAAACCGCCTCCTGCTCGGACGACGTGCTCCTCCCACCCGACCGACCGGGGCTGTGAGCCCTGGCCGTGTGGGTGGTCCTGCAGCTAGAGCGCCGGACCCGGGGGGCTGGGCCCGGGGGTCCCCTGAAAGCTCTCTCTCTCCGCCCCCCACCCCCGTAGCGACCTTAGTGTCCCCAGCAACCCCCCGCGGTCAGCGCAGTCACTGTCCAGCTACAACCCCTTCGAGGACGAGGACGACACGGGCAGCACCGTCAGTGAGAAGGAGGACGTTAAGCCCAAAACGTTGGTGAACGAACGCTTCCCTCTGGTCCCCGCCTGCCGCTCGGTCTGTCGCCTCCTCTCTGCCCGCGGTCTCGGCCGCGGCGCTCGGAACCCTGCGCGGGGCCCGCGGGCGGTGGCCGGGCTGCGGGTGTGGACGGTCTCGGGCTTTTCGATTTCTCTGGGGGGCGCACCAGCTGGCCGTCTGTGGCTGCTTTCTCTCTGTCTGCCACTAACCGTGGTCACGGCCTCGGCACAGGAGGACGGGGGCCTGCGGGGCGTCCCCGCCTCTGCCCGGGGCTGGTGCGGGCCCTGCGAGGCGCCCGGCTGCGCCGTGACGCCAGGCTGCGCCCTGCGGAGGAGCCCCGGCCCCGCCCAGGGCCTCCAGCCTCTGGCGCCCCGCCCCCCTGCTCAGGGCCCCGCCCCCTCTTTCCTGCAGCGTGAGCAGCTTCGAGAAGACGCAGAGCTACCCCGCCGACTGGTCCGAGGATGAGGCCAACAACCCGTTCTCCTCCTCGGACGCCAACGGGGACTCCAACCCGTTCGACGAGGACGCCGCCTCGGGCACGGGCACGGAGGTGCGGGTCCGCGCGCTGTACGACTACGAGGGGCAGGAGCACGACGAGCTGAGCCTCAAGGCGGGTAGGTGCCCCCCAGCGGCGCCGGGGAGCACTCCAGCCTCCGGAGGGCCCTGTTCTGCGGGAGGTCCGCTCCGGTTCCTGCCAGTTGTGGGCCCCCAGTCCCCCCCCCCCCCCCAGCAGCTCAGCGCCAGAACTCGGCAGAGGGAGGTGCCCTGGTGCTTTCGCGGGCGACGTCGCCCCCAGCTGGGCGAGGCCTGGACACGGGGCGCCTGCAGCAGGAGACCCCGAGGGAAAAGCCTTCCTCCCCAGGCCCCCAGCTGGCGAGAGCCCTGGGTGCGGCCGCCCTGCCCAGACCCCAGGGCAGCACCTGGTACGCCCAAGGGTGGCCGGGGCTGGTCTCAGCGGCAGCGCCCTCCAGACGCCCTCCCGCAGCCACAGGGGCTGTGCTGACCGCCAGCACACCCCCGCTGCCGGTGGCTGAAAACGGTTTTGTGGAACGCGGCATCCTGGTTACACGGGTCTGTGGTCAGGCGTTTTCGGTTAAATGTTGGCTGCTGCTCACGGAGTTGGGCTGCCGTGTTCAGTTTGAAAAGGCTCTCTCCCTCGTGCCTGACAAACGAACGATAAACGCAGCCACCTGACCCAGAGCGCCACGGGGAGGTTCCAGAACCGGGCCAGCGGCTGCCGTCTGAGAGCGTCGGGAGGGGGTGGCGTTTAAGTCAGAGGACGTGCCCGAGCTGGTGCTGGAGGCAGAGAGACGGGCCCCCGCCCCCCCACGTCCTGCCGCCTGGCCCCAGGTTGCACGGAGGCCCCAGGTGGCCTACAGGCTCTGGGGGGACGCGGGAAGAGGGAGCAGGCGAGGGGGCCCAGGGGAGGGGGCGTGAAAAGAGTCCTCGGCCTGGCCGGGGCGGCCAGGAAGGCACGAGGCCTGCAGCCCCTAACGCTGGGGCATCTGGGGGCTGCCCGCGTACGGGGCGGGGCGGGCGCCGACACCTCTCAGAAGCTAGGGGGCCTGCGCTCCGCCCCCGGCAGGGTGCCTGTCCCTCTCACCCACGTTGTCGACCCGGGGTGGGGGGGCGGACCGGAGGGAGACCAACCGCGGTCAGCGTGTCCCCACCAGCCCAGCCAGACCTCTCCCTTCCTGTCTCGCAGGGGACGAGCTGACCAAGATCGAGGACGAGGATGACCAGGGCTGGTGCAAGGGGCGCCTGGACGACGGCCGGGTCGGCCTGTACCCAGCGAATTACGTCGAGGCCATCCAGTGACGGCCGAGGGCTGGCCGGCGGCGGGGCGGCCCCCGCGCTCCGTGAGCCGGCGGCCTGGGCAGCACTCCGGCACCTCCAGCTGGCCGTGCGGGCGGCCACTCCTGTTCCTGCAAAAGATGATGGTTCCATTGCTCTTGGCTTCATGGCGTCTCTCGGAGACGGACGAGCCGGCCACTCCCCTGGGACGGGCAGCCCTCCCGAGGCGCGGAGGGGACATGTGAGCACAGGAAGACGCAGCGCGGCCGCCGGTGACGGCCCTGCCCGCTCCCCGCTCGGCGCGCGTGTGGCTTGGCGCGGGGCTGGGCATCCCCGGCCTTGTCTGTGCGCCCGCCTCCGCGCCAGCGGTGGGCCGCCCCACGCTCGCCCCTGTGGCTCCCCCCTCTGATGCGAGCGCCCCCCACCCTCGCCCCGAGCGAGCAAATGTGTGTGCCATTTCCCGAGGTTTTTAATTGAAAGGCCGTGCGCGGCTGTACTTTTTCTCACCTGTCTGTCCGTTCGTTTGTGCTTGAATCCCGGCGCAGACGGGGGTGTGCCGGGCTGGGGGAGCGGTGCCCCTGTCACCGCCTCGTGCTGCCCCACGGCCCGGCCTGCGCGGACGGGACGCCCGAGGCAGGAGGCCGCGGCGGCGCGGGAACACCTCACGGGGGGGTGTCCGCCGTGAGCGCGTGGGCTTCGGAAACAGCGTGTGCGGCGCTGCCCAAAGCCACCGCGTGTAAAGCCCAGTTCCTCCTCCGCGTGCTTCAACCGTGAGGCCCGCGCGGTGAGCACGCCGCCAGCGAGCGGACGGTCAGGCCGAGAAGACGCGCTGTTCCGGCGCGGCACCTGTAGCTCCAGGTGCTGCGCCAGTCAGGCCGCCGCGTCCTGGCGTGTGTCTGCGTGTGGTTTGACGTTCAGAGAATCTAAAGAGCTTGTCTGCTGTTTCTGTGAGACTTTAGAGGCTCTCGACGGTGGATGTAATTCGGAAACTGCTCGAAGACCGTGGCGGTCGGGCCCAGGCCCGGCTGGCGGGCTGGGTGGGCCTCCTTGGGACTCCGGATGTGGGCCCTGGGCCCCTGGAGTGGACGCTGCCAGAGGGAAGTCTGTCCTCACTGGCCCGCTGCAGGCCCCCCCCACCTGCTGACCGGCCTTCGCCCCTCCATGGCGGGGCACGGCCGAGCCCCCAGGCCTGCCCCTCGGATTTCAGCCCCCCGAGTCCCTCGGGGCACACAGAAGCCCGGGCTCACCCCCAGCACAAGGGGCTCTTCCGAGTGTCCTCAGCCATCAGGGAGCGGACGCGCTGCAGCTGGAAGCCGCACTGTAACCGCAGGGCGGGAGGGAGGGAGAACTTCTATTTTGTGTAACTCGGACGTCGGGGAGCGGCCGCGCCAGCGCAGGCTGTGCCCCGCCCGGCGTCCCGGCGGCGAGCTGGGCGTCTGGCTGGGACAGCGGGTGTGGTGCGCGGGCGTCGTGAAGACTCACCAGCAGAAAGCATCATTCCTTTGCTACAGATTACCAAAAATTGTCTTTTCAGTTCAGGAGTTTCTTTATAGTATTTTAGGAAAAAATCAATAAACCGTTGATCTCCCGACCGTGTCTGTGCCGTGCGTGTGCCTCACACTCGCCTCGGCGTGTGCACGTGTCCCCGGCGGCACGGACCGGCTCGGGAGCGGGCGAGACCCTGGGCCCAGACCACCGCCCCGGGGGCCGTGTCCCCGTCCCACTGGCCCTGCTGCACCCGGGGTGGGGGGTTTGAGGCCCCCGGGCCCCTCAGGGTTCCCCTTCCCCCTGAACCTGCCGCTGTGTGGCCTGGGCCTCCCTCCCTCCCTGGGGCCCCAACAGCAGGACCAGACCAGGGACCCCGCCCCGCCCCACGCCGGGCTCCCAGCCCCTCATCCCCGAGCGCCTGTTCGTAGGTCGTCTGCTGAGCATGCCCGTCTCCAAACGCCCTGTCCCCATTTCCCTTTAGCAGTACGAAACAGACTCCAAGCCCTGACTGGGTGGCTCAGTGGGTTGGGCATCACCCCACTGACTGGAAGGTCGCCAGTTCGATTCCCGGTTAGGACACAAGCCTGGGTTGGGGGGCAGGTCCCTGGTTGGGGGCGTGTGAGAGGCAACCGATCAATGTTTCTTGTGCACATCAATGTTTCTCTCCCTCTCTTTCTTCCTTCCGTGCTCTCTCTAAAAATAAATGAACTCTTTTTTTTTAAGATGTTATTTATTTTTTTTTAAGAGAGGAGAAGGGAGGGAGAAATAGAGAGTAACATCAATGTGTAGTTGTTTCTCATGTGGCCCCCACTGGGGACCTGGCCTGCAACCCAGGCATGTGCCCTGACTGAGAATTGAACCTGCGATGCTTTTGTTTGCAGCCCGCGCTCAATCCACTGAGCTATGCCAGCCAGGGCTTAAAAATAAGTGAACTCTTAAAGAAAAAAGAAAGAAAAGAAAAGAAAGAAACGGGCTCCAAGAGCCAAACTCACCTGAGGAGCCCCCACGCTCAGGTGGGTGAGGTGAGAAGAAAGGCCAGAGGGGGGAGGAGTCGGTGGGCAGCGGCCACTGCAGTGGCACTCGCCCAGCTCGTGGGGTCTCGGGACGAACCTTTGTCCTGTGGCCGCCTGGTCGGACGGTGCCGGGGCCCTGCTGTCCCTTCCTGAGGAGGCGCTGGAACCCGGCAGAGCCGCCCAGACGGGACACCAGCCTCCACCTCACCGCGCAGCTGCGGTGCAGAGAGGCAGGGCGGGGCAGGAGGGAGGGCCCGGAGCACCGGGTGAGCTCCTGCACCTGCACCGCAGCCCGCGGGGAGGCTGGAGCCGCCCCGCTCTGCGGAGGAGGACGCCGGAGGCCTGGGAGCTCTGGTGAACTGCCCGCAGCCCCGTGACAGCTGAGGCATGGCCCAGGCCTGCGGGGTTCCCAAGTGCAAACCAAGCCCTTCCTCGACCCCCCCACTGCCCTCGAAGAGCAAGGGGGCAAGCGGGGGGGGCACAGCCCCTGCTCAGCGAGGCCTCCTCCCGCCTCCCGTCTTCCCCAGAACGCCTGGAGGATCTGAAGGGCCCCCTGCCCACCTGTCAGTCCTGTCCTGGCCCTCGGGGGCAAGCTGGGCCTCAGTTTCCCCAGGGGAGAATGGTGCCTGCCTTCCAGCGGGAGGATTCAAATGAGGGGGAAAGACCGCAGAAACTCAGGTGGTCACTGAGTGTGGTTATGGGTGACACCCCATTCTCCCTGTCCCCCCCAGCCAGGACCTCCTGGCATCCTGGGCTGCCCTGCCCACACCCTCCACACAGGGCCACCAAGTCCTCTCCACCCCTCCGTCGGTCCCCCACGCCCCACAGCCGCTTCCCGGGCCCAGCTGCCCCTTCTGCCCCGGATCACGGCTGTGTCTGCGCCACCCCAGGCAGCCTGTCCCAGGTCCCTCCCCTCGGAGTGGGGCTGGGAGGGGGCATGTCACCCTCGTGCCCTGGTTTTGCCCCCGGAGGGCAAGCAAGTTCAGGTCGGGCGACCCAGGCAGGGACCTGGCTCTGTCAAAGCCTAAACAAGGACCCTGGGCTTCCTGAGGTCCCCACACTCAGAAGGCGGGGCTGACCTCTGCGTCCCTAGCATCACGGTGGGGTCTTCACCCACTTACACGCATGCGCGGCCTCGCCCCACTCCTGGCCCGGCCTCAGGTGCGCAGCCTGTGGGCTGGGCCAAGGCCTTGGGTGCTGGGGGCCAGGCCTGGAAGACACCCGCTCACAATCCACCAGGTAGGGATGGGGGAGGCCGAGAAGGGCCCCCGCTGGTTCCTGGGGAAGTGACATGCCTGTGGCCCCAGAGTGGTTGGGGGGGGCCGAGCACGGCCTGACCCGGAGGAGCCCCCCAGGCGGGAAACCCGCAGGCCTCCTCCCCACTCCCTGTTCCTGGGCTCCATGCGTCCCCAGGCGTTTACCGAGCACCCTCGGTGTGCGAGACTCGGTGGGGCCAGGACGGGCGCGGAGAAGGGGCTGCATCTGCCCTCAGGGAGCTCGGGTGGGCCAGGGAGGGGCAGCCAGACAGCAGGGGGCCCGACGGTCCTCTCAGGGGGCACATGGTGGATCCTGGCAGTCAGCCCGGGAGCCTCAGGAAACCGGGAGAAACACGTCTTCCAACCCCACCCCCGGGCCCTAAGGGGGCAAAGTGCTAGGGGGTCAGCCCATGAGCTGTCCCCCCACCTCCAGTAAGAAGCACCCCGGCCTGGGCACCCCTGTGGGGCCTGGAGCCTCTCCGAGCCTCAGTCCCCATTGAGTGACGGGAAGCCACTTCGGGGCGACGGCAGGGGTGTCCCGAGGAGGAGGCCTTGCCAGGCCGCCGCCCTGCGCCTGGGTGCCCAGAAGCCCCGTCCCCTCCCCTGCCCTTCTCAGAGCCCCGGCTCTCTCCGGAGCGGTGGCCGCCCTTTTTGGCTCCTGCGGGAAGCGCGTGCCCCTCCCTGGGCCTCGGTTTCCCATGGAAGAGTGGGCAGGGACCCCAGGCTGGACCTCTGCCGTCTGTGGTGGGAGCTGCCAGAGGACACAGCGCCCCGGGGGACACGCCTGGGGCTCCCCAGGGGACACGCCTAGGTCAGGGATGGAGGCAGCTCCACAGCCCCAGGAGGGCAGGCCCAGGCGGCAGCACTGAATTGGGCCAGGCCCGCGTCAGAGGGATGAGGCTCACCCCCCTGCCAGGCAGGGCCCAGGCCAAGCACCGGGTCAAAGGAGCCCGGCCGACCCCGGCACCATCGTGGGGCAGGAGGCTGTCAGCCTGCGTCCCACCGGCCTTGGGCTGAACACGCACCGGCTACGCGCCAGGCCCCGTGCAGAGCACCCTGCTGGCACAGCATCGTATAAACCTGCTCACAGAGTATGAGCGCCGTTACACAGTTGAGGAAACACACCAGAGAGGTTGACTGACCTGCATCGGGCCACACAGCAAGACGGGGCAGAGCTGGGGTCTGAACTCCAGGGTCCAACTCCAAACAGCAGGTGCCATTGTTTGAACCCCTGGCCCTCAAGCACCCGGAGGGCTCGCTACAACCCCGTGTGCTAGGCCGCTCCCCAGAGGTGCTAAGTCGCCAGACTGCACGGGGATGGCCCAGAGCGTGCAAACCTAACTGGTCCCCGGGAGGTGTTGACTGATCCAGGACCACACTGTGGGAAGCGCTGGTCGGAACAGCAAGTCAGCGCCGCCGAACACCAGCAATGCCCTGTGCTCCCTGATTTGCTCCGGTGACCTGCAGGTGCTCTTGACCCAACTCGAGGGCACAGGTGCTGGGCCCTGGGGACCCAGAGACTGACCAGCCACCCAGTCTGGCCGAGGAGGTGGGGACAGCATGTACAAAGAGAACCCAGGGAGTCCAGGACACAGGCCAATGTGACATCCCGTCTCGGATTATTACGATTCCCCTGCAGGGGGCAGGGTGCAGGGGGCACAGCGCGGGAGAGGCGTCCCCCAGGGTCAGCTGGGCACACCGTGTCACTGATGAGCTGCATGCACTCAGGCCAGGGCCTTCATCTCCCTGACCCTCCGTTGTGTCCTCCTCTGCAGAGTGATTCCTGTCTCCCCTCGTTAAAGGTCGCAGGAGGTCAAGGGCGTGACTGTGCTGGGTCAAGCACAAACACGGGGCCCTCGTTACAGAGGCAGTCTCGACCCCACCAGCATGCCGACGCAAGCCGGCGGTAAGCAACTCGCCAGCCCCCGGAGGAGACTCCAGACGGTCCCCGGCCGGTATCTGGGCGCGCGTGCTTCCTGCGAGCCACGTCCTCGGCCACGTGTGGGCCGTGTGTGCAGGAAGCCTGGCTTTTCCACCCCAGAATCTGATAGGACACTCTTTTTCTCCTCTGAAACTTGAGGCCAGTCTTACAACGGCATAAAAACAAAGTCAGTAAGGAGCATGAACTATGAGGTCTTATTTCCTGCACTCAAACTTGGCTCCAGCTGTGTGACCTCAAGTAGCTGTGTGACCTTGAGCTTCCAGGGGCGTCTCTGGGCTACACTGGAAGAAGAGTTGTCTTGGGCCACACGTTAAACACATTGCGACACGTAATCACAAAAAAAATTCATAACGTTTTAAGTAAATGTACAATTTTCCCAGCCCTCCTGGGCTGCAGGCGGCCTGTGGGCCGCAGCTTGGGCACCCCTGGGTAAGCCTGGGTTGGCTCGTCTATACAATGGGGATAGTGGTAGTGAACATTTGTATTTTACTCAGTGCCCGACCCTGCTCTAAATTCTTTAACATTTATTAACTCATTGAATCCTCGCAGTAGCCCGATGAACTGGGTAAATACTGTTATTCCTACTTTTATAGATGAGGAACCGGAGACACAGAGAGGTTCGGTGAATTGCCAAAGGTGCAACAGTTCTTACACAGCTGTTCTAGATTCGGCCGTGGGCAGTGCGGGGCAGGGCCTGTCCACTAGGCGGCGCTGTTGGACCATGGGGGCGCCAGGCTCCAAGGCGAGGAGGTGCCTCCGCCTAGTGGTGCTCCTTCAGTGATACCTGTCGGGACTGGAGTTGCCCACACGGAGAGGCCCGACCTGGAAGGCCCCCTTCTGTGCTCTGGGGCCCCTCATCACAGTGCTCTCCCCACCCCCGCGGCACTGCTGGT